AAGCCAAGCCTTTTCCTCCATAATATTTCCTGTTGTCAGAACTATTTTCTTGCAACTTAACTTCTATAACTAGGAAGCTTGTCTGGCATATATACAGCTGCGCCTTGGTTTTGTATCCGACGATTCGCCCAGATGCCGTGGAGACACCCACATGATTTTACTAACAAAGAAGAGTTTATAGAGGACGTACATCTACAAACATAGCAGCATGACCGCGCGCGGTCGCCAAAAAACACGGACGCTAGTCCTTTAGTCGTCCCAAGGAAAAACAATGGTTCGCAGTGGGGATTGGCCTCTAGGCCACTAAAAACTTAAGCCTAGTTCCCTTGAATGGCTTAAACGTACGGCTTGGCGATGGCGGGGACTGCACCGTCAGAATTAGGAGCAACGCTGGTGGGAACAGCAGCAGCGATCGTGACGACGACAACGACAGCGGAAGAGGCCTTTATTCTTTCAAAAAACGGGCTACGTTAAGGTTAAAAGCTAAGGACTAAGAACCCTGTCGGTCGCCTGCTCGCACGCTGCGGCCCGCTCCCTGTAAGCGTATCTCACTCTGCTACTCGCAAAGGGTGGTCGAATAGTGAATGGGGATAAATTCGCTCCGTTGGGCTGAACTTAATGAGACAGGTCGTTAAAATTTTGAAATCTTCGTGCCATCCTATGGAAGCAGACTAGCTGCTTGCCTGAGTAGTGGCGAGCCGGTTGGAGACTTGAGGCTGACGCCCGGTGCACGAGCTTACCTGCCGAGCTGCTTCGGTTTTAGTCACCAATCCCCTATTCATCTCTGTTCTGCCCTGACCCCGTTTTTTATCCCTTACAGTGCTGCCGTGTTCTCACTGAGTCCAGCACCGTCCTTTGCACTACCCCGCCCTCCCTTGAGCAGCAGTCCAGCGACGACGATGGGGAAGAAAAACATAGAACCGTTAACGTTGAATATATTAACGCTTGTCGTAGACGTTCCTGATTGCTTGCGTGGCCTTGTAGCCTGTTTGCCAGCAGTAGGCCGTAGATAATCGGGTTATAGTTGGTCATCCCAACCACCCCGCAGCGCGCAAGTAACGTTCAAGCAAGCGGGCTCGTTGTCTCTATCTCTCTCTTTTTTCTGTCGACGAAACGGGCGGCGGTCACGACAGCATGAGCACCATTTCACCAGCAGAGGCATAAGCAAGGGCGTTAGGTCGTGAAGTTGGGTCGGATGTTCGGAGGCTAAAGGCGATAACATTACGAAGCTAGACTGAACTGTCGAAAGCTTTTCTTCGATGTTCGGCCAGAGCTTATCGCTTAGCATTTTGTTCGTGTTCACCCTCGACTGGCGCCGAGAGCGCACCAAACTCCTGCACCTCTGCAAACATCAAAGCGAACGAGCAATGACGGAATGGCTTGCTTTGTGGTTACCATACATACATATAACACTTCTTGGGCATATGAGATGGCATGCGTGATCTATACGCGTGGAAGAACTCGACCCTTAAATACATGGCTTTAGCCTCATTAACAATATCTCTAGATAAAAAAAGACTAGCGACACATCCCTTCGACACACTTCTGTGTTAAAACTTTGGTCTAAAATTACTTCACACAAAATCATGGGCTAAAGCGTCACAGTTGAAAATATTTGTCTTTGCGATAACAATCTGCGATAACAATACCTTTACAAAGTAGGTTTAGTTACAACACGTTATACTACAAAAAAAAATAACGTGTATCGTAAGACCTATAATTTTACAAATTTTCTATAGTGATTTTTAAGCTCAAAATTAATAGAGACAATTGAAAGTTTTTGCAGCTAAGTTTTGTGTTTCAGCTTGAGCGATAAGTGATAATATAAATAAGTGAGGTTCAATAGGCATGCGTAACATATCGCATAATTTTAAATGTGAATCCTTTAATGAAACTTTAAAATCATTGGTGCATGAGACCTACATAGGCTATTAATATAATACAAATATGATGTTAAGAGGGATGGAGTAATTTCAGTGCGTGGATCTGTCTTCACCCGTGTCTTCATGTTTGATTGGCCTGTGTAAACACCTTGCTATGCGCGAGATATTTTCTGCTTACACGATACGAAAAAATATCAAACATCCTTCAAATGTCTTCACTTGTAGCTCAATATACGTACGCGACTCATAGCATTTCTCAATGTTTCCACGTTCATTGTAAACCATGACGAAACGCGCCGAACCCAGGTTGTATCCCAGTCTTCCTTTTTCTGCCTAGCTATATCAACAACACCTAGCCTCTATCCTTCTATTTATCTCGACGGCTTCGGTCCAGAGGTTACAGGTTCCATGGGCATTCAGAGCCCTCATTGCGCTGAACGATGCTTCAAACCTCTTGGTTAATTAAGCCTCTTGGAACTATCATCCTCCTTAGAACCGTCGATACTGCTCCTTCGCAGCAGCGTAGAATCTCTTTGTGCCACTGTGAATATACCGCCTCTTTCCACTTCGCCGCCTCTGCAGGCTTCGGAGCAGTGTGACAATGCTCCGCTTTACCAGAGCGCAGGCCACCGGCTTTAATGATGTCATTTTTTGTCCACGCACGAACTCTATAGTTTTGGACCCACCACGTAGTATTCAGCCTTTGAACGGCTGCGAATTGCTGGCTATGAACCTCTGGTTGTGGCTACAGATGCTCGTTTGCCATGGGCGCTTTGTCGGGGCCATGGAGAACAGCTGCTCCGAGTTGGGAGAGCTGTATGGGGCATCTTTTAGCTGTCATGGGCAGATATCGGGAAATTGCCGGGCTAATATAGTTAGTCCCTATTTAAGTATAATTGCAGCCACTGACGAAGAAACACTGACTCAGTGAGAAATTTAACTAACAAATGACACTATAAACTGAATCGAAACATGTACATCACAGTAGCCACTGTACGTATTATATATGTACATCTGCTTGTCTCTTATACGATGGGCTTTATATATCTTTGTATTTGTAGATCTTCGGTAACACTCGATTGCGGCTACACAAACAATAACAAACAGCTATTCTTCTTGGAAAAGGCCAGTCGATCAAACTCATTAGTATACGTTAAGATAATCAGGAAGAAGATAATGTGGAAGTAAAATATATAAAGTTAGGCCTATAGCCTAAACTTGGATACTTGAGATAACAAATGAGCATAATATTTTGAATTTGTTTATTTTACGGGATTTATTTATACGGGACCTAATACACTTCCCGTAAGCGATTAGAATAAACATAGACAGCTACCGACTGACATCGTTTAAGTGTACTTATAGAGCTTTTCGTTCGATACATTTTATTTCTGACCACAAAGTTTTTTTGAAAGGAAGTTTTCTCTCTAATGCGCTAGCTACTCCTCCCCAAATTTGAATTTGAGTTTATGTACCCTTCAGAGTGCCGTACGAAGGCTGGGCATAGAGATTTTATCAAGTGGATATTTCTTTGGAATTCAAGCCTGTGTCGCACATAGCTCACCACAACTTGAGAGCGCAAAATCTCTAAATATTATGTGGCTATATATCATGGAACTAACAGGTTGCTCCGGAAGGGCTGCCGTCGTTGGCCTTACTGGCTGAGGCAGACTTGCGAAGTGGTTCAACCTTGTGCTTGTCAAAGCCCACGAGTTCCGGCCTAGGCCGGCCTAACACTCGCTACCGCCATGGTAATTGCAAAGGGTTTCTGTCTTCTTCTATCGTCTAACGCTGCCTCTGGAGTACAGAGAAGACAGGACGATAGGCCTAGTTGAGCAGCTTGAATATGCTTGTTACGACTAACAAGATCGTTACTGCGATATTTGTACAGTAGGTGGCCACTAGTAGCTTTTCCGTATCTTCTCTGCTTTTCCGTATTTCGATCACATAGGACTACAGGCGTTTTTCTACGACCAAAGCTTTTTTTGCAAACCCGTTGCCCTTTCTTACTTCCATTCGTCTCCCGTAATTGCAAGGGTTAGCTCAAATACACTAGAATGCACCATGTATACGATCTTATTAATTACAGCGTCTATGGGCTAAACAGCTATTATCACAGCTATCTCGTGTGATCGGTACGATTACTGCTGTCCCTATTTTTCTTCTTTATATCGTTTCTATCACTTATGTGATTATCTCTCGATTCAGCGTAGCATACACGACCTATACTACTGGCGCCACCATTGCCATTACCGTCAGTATCGTGCCTATCTATTTTTTTGCTGCTGTAAGTCAATTCGCCCCTCCTAGAAGATTCGACGGCGAGGCTACGTCATCATTTCATGGCAGGGTATCTGCTTATTTGTGTAACTGCTAGATGATATAAGAACCGTTGGACGTAGGCTGTGTAGGTCGAACAAAACGTACATTTGGAATAATGCCTTCGCATCGTATTCTTAGGGCAGACGCACCGAAAGCAGCAAGAGCTCTAGGCAGGAGAACGACCCTGTGAACACCTTCTGCTGTTTGTTCGTAGGTCAGGAAAAGCCCGAAAGATTGTGGAAATCAACATCAAACAGGCCGCTCAACGCTAAAACTACTTCGCTGATCCTAGCCAGGAGCTAGTTAATAAACAGACGTTAGGAGAATAAGATTATACCTACCGTAATCATCTAGTTCATCAAAGACGCTCGCATCCGATGTGAGAGAAATGTGCGCAACATTTCTTCCAGAAACTACATTATAGGTCCTTCCGTTTCAAACATTAATATTTCTAACTATGGCATCACCCCGTAAAAGTTTTGGCGATATCTTAGCAGTCACAAACAAGAACAGTGTTTAGCTAGAAGGCATGCCTTCTGGCCAGTACTTTTTGTTGCCCTTAGATAGTTTGTAATACTTGCATATATGTCTTTTATATATTTTATATCTAAGCTAGGACCATCCTTACAGACCTGAACGTCGGTCCAGGGCACTCCCCCAAATTATTAGAAGGTTAAAAAAAAAAAAGGACATACGCTAAATGTGATAACGAGCCTTTTTATAAATAATTTGATTATCTCCTCGTAGTGAGCCACCGGTACGTAGAATACTAATCTTTATTATCTGTAATTACAGGTACGATTTTACTGCCGAATCAAGAAGTCTATGAGAACATTTTGCGATATGCAGTGAAGAACTTTGACAGCTCGCTCTTTGACACTCGGCTTGTCGCGATGAGATTGAGTAACGCCGATTTCGTACAAATCAACATGAAAGGTATGGGGTGCTCTTTAGCACGTAAATGGCAATACTATACCCTTGTTATATGTGTATAAATAACCATGTATGAAGTGCATGTAAGGATTAGGTCGATCAGGAAATAAGTTTTATTTGATTTCATATAATGCAAGCTTTTGGTTGAGGCTAACATTCTTCTGCTAGAGTTAGTGCCTCAGTTTTCCGTGGCGTTCATCCACCATTTAGGCAAAAAAACGAGTCTCAGGCTAAATGAAAGAAGTATATATAAAGACGATTTATCCATAAACCCCTTTTATGGACTTCGCCTCTTGTTTTAATTAGCTCGCCCCCCAGACCATGCTGCATGAATCCGAAAAATTGCAACTTGGTAGAGGTCTGGGCCGGAATCCGGAAGAACTTTTCAGGTCTGCCGTTAAATTCAAATAAAGTCAGGTATTATCATACATCGTGATCATGTTATGAAGTCGTTCGCCTTCTTCAGGTGTTTATATTATAATGTTTTGGCCTAGATTCGCAGTCTACATTTATCATGTCACTGAATGTTTTAGAAACTTAGAACAGACCATTTGTTTCAGGTGCCATTAAATTCTCTTATGGAAAGCTGTTTTGAATTTCACTATACTGTCGGGCAAAAAAATTATTATAAAGTAACCCTTTCCATCTCAGCCACTCATCCTGAAGGCTTCTCCTGTACGTTTCTTAGCAGGGGACTTATCCACAAGTAGTACATATTGAATCATCATGTACAAGGCCAAGGCCGTAATCATAATATAGAGAATTTGGAATAGTCACTGTAGAATAGTATATATAGAATAGAAATAGTAGGCACTTGCGTGGCGTCGGTGGTTCCAGAAATGTATCGGGTCGGTCAGTGTTCTTTGTACTTCTTTAAAGGGCTACTCAAAGCAAACCGGTTACTCGTAAACCCTCCTCTGACAATTTTATTCTTTTTTCCCCCGGAATCGTACCTTTATTCATTTATTTTCCTTTTCTCTAACAGTAACGATATATCCATAGCGGTATTGATCTGTTCGACCATTCCAGCCTCCTTTAGGCCACGGCCGTAATTCCTGCTGTCGTCGTCCGTCGCAAAAATGTCACGTAACTGCCACCGCATTGACACATAATTTATGTGCTTCGAGACATCAGTGTTTTGTAAATCTTGAAATGAAAATGCAACGAAGATATCCATAGGGGTCGTTTATGACAGACATCGACGAGACTAGTCAAACACCAATTGGAACTTATGCATTTAGGATAATGCGAATATATCGAATTCAATTTCATCAGACAATAAACTTCTTTCAAAAAGTGTGCTTTCACGGGCGATGGGCCTATTGTAACTTTTCCCATTTCCTCACCATACGAATATACTATTCGTATATGGAGAATGTCTTATATTTCGATGTTTTACGTCCGGTATATAAGCCGTTGGGCACTGCTTCAGACGGTTGGCAGTACGCACGCTACGGACGATTTAATATATATTGCCCAGATCGAAAAACTTACATCAGCACGTATCGGAAGTTTAGTGGTACACGTCTTTACGTGATAAACACGTTTGTGTCTACGTATCGTTTTTAACCTAACGTCGCAATCGAATGTCCTAGCAGCCGTTGCAACGCCATGCATCAGAATCCATATATAGATACGCGTTAATAATATTGTGTATTAATTTAGAATACAATTAAAATTGATAGTTGTTTTTAAGCACACCAATTTGGACAGAAGCCCTTTCCGCATTAGGCATTCCTATCTCTATGTTATTTAGGTTTACTCGATTATTCAATTGTCATAATTTCCTAACAACTACGACTACTTTAAAACGATTCTAATAAGGCCCAGTTATGCTGGACCATGTATACTGACTGCGTTTTATGTGCCGGAACAGGAACCTATCGTTTGACTGACGCAGGCCATTTTCGACGTATCTGCTAAGCATCCGTAGTGAGCAGGACGATAGATCTAGACAAATAGTAATTTGCATTTTTATGCTATACGAAACCTTTTAGAGCGGTATGTACTGTATATACCGGTAATAATTGGAAGAGTATGAATTATATGGAAGTTGATGGGCTAATTTATCTGCACATCTAACTGTCGCTGAGTGCTATTTACGAAGGTACACCTAAATACGAAGCCACAATTAGAGGCTTCTGTAACCGTTGGTTAGTTTATTTCAATCCCAAAGACCAATGGTCAGTTGGTGCAGAATAAATAGTCCAGTCTTTCATTATTTTTACTAATCAGACTACATTTATACTGACAGCGTCTAAAAATTAAGCTACAGAACTTTTATTTTGTGTCATCTTTAAATAGGTTTCCGTTACGTAAAACCAAAAACGTTGTTGTGCGTTGCAAAAACATGAAAAGTACCTCGGATGTCAGTATTTTTATCGCATAGCTAATTCTTTAGATTTATTAGAAAATAAAACGCTATTAATTATTAGTGTTGTCATGTCAGCGTTCATTGACCCTATAGCCGAGTCACTGCGTAAGATTTAAGTGTAAATAGCACCCTATGATATCGGGCACATGCAGAATGCTAAATAAAATGTGTGCCATTGTGTGCTTCTTGGCACGGATACTCGCGTCTCGAACCGTAACTTTTAGCTGTAGCAGCACTTGTGGTAACAGTGAACACGGTCAACTATGTAGCATTGCCCCACCCTGTGCGGTTTACTTGTCCAGTGGATTAACGATGGCCAGCTAAAGCCGGTACACCGGAATTGCTTGAACGAACGCTTCATACTGATAATACCATTTCGAAACGCAACCATCACCTGTTCCTAGCCAGGGGTGCTTTTTGTGTGTCTTTATTATGAAAGAAAAAAACTGTGTTTACAAGGCACATTCGAGCTCCGCCACAAGGAAAAAGGAGATCAGTATGAATACGTCGCGAAAGTAGCTACAGGAAAACGTTTTTTTTTTGAAATTTTTCGCGTCAGGTCGGGGACATTTACTGTGAGAACACTCACAAAAAAAGTGCGGGGCAACACATGAGTTTTTACTGTTTTCAGTAATAACAATAGCTAGTATTCTTATTATTATTCTATTAGCTGCGGGGGCTGGTTCTGCTACAGAGAAGAGTACTTGTTGCATAACAGGGTGCCAGGACAGGCTCACGTCGAACGCAAGAAAAATGTCCGAGCGAACAGCTGGGTTCGATTACTGTCGTTCTCTGTACATTATCTACCATTATGTATGTCTTCACGTAAGATTAGGTCTCATTTTTTTTTGACTCAACTGAAACAAATGGAGTACAGGACCGTTGCAACATATGTGCAATCATACTCTTCGTACATGTTTTGATTTATCCCCTCGCGATCGTCTTCAAATATCTGATACTCCTGTCCCGCAGCCATCAGCGTCGCCATGCCCGCTGCCATTTCCGATCGGTAGCATGCCTATTTTTTTTAACGAAATTGAATCAAACGGCGCTTGGTTGTGCGGACACAACGTGCGTTTGCTGTTGCTGTTAGTCCTGTTGCACAGAAGCTGCAGGAACAGCAGGAACGCAGCTATAACTATCTCTCACGATCAAAGGCCTATTCGTCCACCTCGGTTACGACAATACCGTGTTTTGTCTGTGCATCGTATTTGTCTGCCTGCTTACTTATCCCTGTATATACGTGCGTATATCCGAGTGTGTTTCTTGTATGGCGCTGAATAATATTGCCCAGGATGAATGAAATTCCACTGTATTTCTAGTGACATTCCAAGAATATTTGCTTGCTTCATATTTTTTTTTTGTTTAAATGACCCATCCTATAAACGTTTGCCCAGGAAGAGTCGATCACTCGTCTGCCTACTACTGCTTCCGCTGCAGTTGAAACTTCTACGAAGCGGTCGCGACGACCACTACGCTATGCTATGCTATAGCCTTGCCATCTACTATAATGTCGTTTCTGTGTCTTCCTTTGATTTGCTCCTGTTTTTTTGGTGCTCTGAAGTTATAACGTTTCTCCCATGTATTTACATGGCGGCAAAAGTAGGCGAACTAGAACGCTGTAGTGGAATTTCTAGAAAGATACGTGATGATCCCTTAGAGGTGATGACAGGACGTACAACCTCCAATGCAACTGCTGTAGTCGTTCTAGCTCATGACTTAGATTATGACAATATACGCATCCGTATAGATGCGAAGCATTATGGCGCCTGGATCATTTGACATTGCATAGAGTAATAGAAGAACTTAATCTAAAACTGGATGGCAGTAGAAACAGGTATAGTGTCTGGTGTTCGAGCAAAGAAAATGAAAATCTCACTTTTTATATACGCAGTGTATAAAGTTATTCGTTTGAAACATTAGCATATCTTTACTGATATTTTCATTTATATGCGAGAGAAGTTGCTTTGAAGCAATACGTGCAGAACATGTGCGAGGTTTAGGGAAGAAACGATCCAGTCAAAACTATCGTATTGCCTTCGAGCTAGTAATTTTTAATGCTTTGAAGCCTATATACCTGTAGTGTTTGAGCACACGCGGCGAACTACTAGCTCAGAACTACTGCGTGCTAACGTGGAACCTAGTGCTGCTTTGGCTGTGAAATGTCACAGAGCTTTGCTGAGCTCAAAAGCCAAAATAAAACGAACTTAACTTAATCAGGTCTCACAGGTTCGTCTAGTGCGAGTCATTCTTGTCGAGCGTACAGATGATTAGATCATCCGATTGATACGATTGGTTGGCCGGGCACGCTGGCACATCCCAAAACTTGGGACCTCTACTACGATTTCTTCGCAGCGGCTCATTGGAGCCGACAGGCATCACTGGACTGGCTGTTGCATGTTAGCACCCTTAGTGTTTCTCTTACACTCTAGCATGAGGTATCGTCAGTAGTGATCGTGGTAAACGCGCGTTGACGTTACTAACCTAGGACATCACTAAGCTTTTCGTTATCGCTAGTGCTAGATAGGGGACAGAGGACGCTGGCATGCTGCTCGTCATCATGACAGAGGCCACTGTATTCGGCATACACCCGAAAACCTCACACATTTGAACCTACGCGTGCAGACGTACATTGCATTGTACTGCCCGTATGCCTGCTGCGGCTAGGGTCTGGTCAAAGACAGCTGCCTTAAAATCTTGGGAGTCACACTGCCTAGAGCAACATGATCGCGCCGCAATTATCGGCGTCATACAGAGGCAGAACGGAAATGATCATGCGCTATAATTGCAAAACGGAGTATTGGGAAAACTCAACAAACAATTCATCCTTTCTGTGGTGCCATCGAACCGAATAACGATTTACAACGGATGGTTACGCGGTTCTTAGCTATGGTTCGGATACCGCTGGGCCAATATGTGTGCCCATATGACGCGGGATAGAAAGGCCCGCGTATCTGGGAACTAAGTGTGAAATGAGTAGGATTCGAAATCCATCCAGGCAGAGACATCTTCCCTTGGAAGGTGAACGGGAATTAATGAATCTTATACCGGCGCAGTTGATGCTCGTTGTACTCTATTCAATAGGTGGATCAAATCGATTTGAATTTCAGTACAATAAAAACCATCACGTCAACTATACAGGAGGGCTGATCTGAAGTGAGCATTGAAGAGTTGTTTCTAGGTCTTATCTAAACAAAATACCATATTTCCAACGCAATCTATAGCCTGTGCTAGACGTATCGTTCCCGAAGATCACATTCAATGAAACCTTTAATATAAGACCTACGTCTTTCACTAGCCAGTTCTAAGAAATCATCCTTCAATACGCAAATCATTTTTAATAAATCCAATAATCATTCTATATTAGTGGGTATAAGCTCATTGAAGTGTTGCTAAAATACACTAAATGCAAAAAAATTCTAAGGGAATCAAATTATGGACAGAGAGCGGGCCAACAGTGACAAAAAATACACGGGTAAAGATTCCAACAAATGCAAAAAACCGACTAAGGACAAATCGCTAGAGTTTATATGACGGCTCAATCCGCAGTTAACATTTTTCTTTCCGCAACGACCGTCAACTCCTGTATAAAAAATCCATTACTCATATTCCGGTTTACCCCAAAATTTCTCCCGGACTTTTCTAAAAAAGCATAGAAACTGGCTATAACAATCTAAGTTTTGTTTAGCCTAGCCGGTTTTTGCTAGCCTGAAGAGCTATTAGCTGATTTTACTCAAACTGTAAAAACCACGCACTGTTTATCGCCATAATAATTTTGTTTTAAAAATAATTGGTTTTTTTTATTCCCGTTAGAGTAAACAGCCTGCCAACGTTTGTACTATATGAGACCAGAATGCTTGGATCGCATGCGAGTTTTGAGAGGTTTCTCTACACGAAAAGATTTCTCCATATTCATGTAGTGCTCCTGGTAGAGCAGTAAAGATTTACTAGATGTGTAGACAGACGTTTCTAACGCTGTGACGGTAGTTTTGGCATATATTTGACAATATGTCATAGATGCTTGAGTTGCTAATGTAAAAGTCAGGGGAAGAAAAAAGATCTACTTATTCAACGTATGAAAGTAACTGATTTCGTTGCGCCAAATTACGTTTATTTTCCAACAATACAGGGTAAGCGCAAACGAAGCCAACAAGGAACGATATGGCAGAATTGCCGCGTAACAACTGTTGCTGGCTATAGCAAAGCTGCATAATAGAAACCGTACTAGAGATATTCGACAATGAAATTCACGTGCACAGCGTCTGTAAGCGCTGTTTTTTTGCCTGAACAGACGCACTTTGACCCCTTGTTGCAACACGTGGACTCTCGTTACGAGCCTGGAAATTCTAATGCACACTGGTTGCACATCTGACCGTTTGTACAACTCAACTGTTCGTAACATTCCTAATGAAGCCAACCCAGTATAATTAGTGTGAGCATTCCAGCTAATATTCAGCTCGATGTGGCACGGTCTCTAGCTAATGTTGGCCCACAGAGTAACCAACAACGTTGACAGCGGCCGACAAGACATTTCAGCGGTATGTATTATAGCCGAGTGTGTATATGTGAGTAGTCTGCTACGCAGATCCGCGATATGCCCTATAAAACGAATGAACAAACCGACGCCACCGGCATTGCGGTACGTTTCTTCCCCGATACACAACTAGCCAAGCAGTCTCTCTCTAGCAGTGACTATTACCAGAGCGTCACTAAACAGCTTTCATTTGACGCCAGGCAAAATTTACGCATCAGTATGTTTAATTTGTTAACAAACGCACAAACATGTCTCTATGGAGGAACCTGCATGGCCGGACATCACACATTCGCTCTCCTTGATAGCATCTTTATTGATAATTCACACAGGCTAGGAACACTCACGGATACCAGTAATTACTTCCAATACTTCTTGACGGCAAATACTCTAGCTGGAATATGCAACTGTCGCCTATTCTATCTCTTTTGCGCGTTCCTTGTTTGTTACACATCCGTATTCGTAAATGTATCACCTACAAACAATCATCTCTCACAGTGATCGCATTAATGTCATGCCACAAACCCGGATGGCTTGAGCATGTGGAAATTCTCTTCCGTTAACTGTAAAGACATCTCGCATTTTCATATCATAAAGCAGAAGGAAATATTGCACCCGTCAGGCTGACACTAAATCCCGATGGAAATATACGTTAGTGCACCTGTTAAGCAGTCTAGTTTTATCGGGTCATATTTTCATTGCAGAGCAAAACTCAGGTTAGACTTTTCAGAGGAATACTATCATAATGTAGCAATAACGTATGTACCTTAACATTCGTCACAAAAAAGACTGTACGCCTCCGAAACAGTCTGGACCGCCTCCTAGGCTCCGAGAAACATGACGACGTTAATATCAAGGATTATTTCTTCTTTGTGTTCCTTGAACATTACCTCACCCATTTCATGTTCACCTTTCTCTCCTGCTTCGTATTGTTCGGTTTGGCTTTTCGAACCGGGTCTTGTCCTCCGATCTAGCTTCGATCGTTTAGCTCTGCTGCCCGTCCTTTTCGACTTCAACGCAGGCTCAAACGGGCGGCCGGTTTGAAGGCTCGAAAGATGAAGGTAGAAGTCGATGATGCAATTCCAATATTTCAATGAATGTTTGGAAAAGCACAGGTCAAACTGACTGTTTGTGGCTTGGGAGATCAGAGACAAGAAGAAATCAGAGCAAAAAAGTCTCCGAACTAAGCCACTATGCCCAGCTCGATTCCTCTTCATCGTCCGGAAAAATAAATGGCCAAGAAGACTCATTCCGATTACTCTTTTCATCCAGCTGCTGTTGTACACAGGCGGGCGACGGCACCGGCATTGCAGACGCTGGAAGGAATAGAAAATAAGTTTTAAATTGAAAGCCTTAAGCAGGTCAAGGCTACCCAAGGAAAACCTCTTGTAGACCCTCAGTCGGCAGTCGCCTCAAATTCGCATTACTGTGGGTCTTTATTATTCCACTTACACTCTATTCTTTGTCGTTTGCCTTCCGTACCCTCAATTAAAGTCTACTTTCCTCAAAAATCGAAGAAGAGTTGACCAAGGAGTAGCAGTATCAACCGATCACCCTTATTGACCAATAAAACAAACCATACAGAGTACCAAGCCAACGTTTCTGCAAGAAGACCACACAGCTCGACCAGCAGCGGTCAGTTTAAAACGGCCATCCTCCTGACGCGCAGGCTGACATCACAAATCCAAATCTATTCGCTTCGGTCAGGTCACAGGTGGGATTGGCGACCAGTGATTAGGTTAGGCAAAGCGGAACACGAATAGCGTAAACATGTAGACGTACGTATTCGAAAGCTTCCATGCTGGTAGCTCTATCTTGATATATTGCTTCCCATCCTAGATTGGCGCACAAGCTACGCGTGAACGTAAGTTATAGAAACTGTTGAAATATAATGCGCATTGAACTATTTTTCTTCAATAACGTCCATTTTCTATATGAAAAAGTGGATACAGCCTTATCACTGTCACGACAAAAATAACATGGTACCGGTTATTTGAATGTTGCTATTTCGCTCACAACTGTTGTCCTTCTTAGACAAAGAGGAGTAGGGTAAAGATGACATGTGAAAATTAATAAAGCTATTGTGTTTCAATCTATTATAACTTTGCTAGCAGTAATTGTTTTTTATATTCCCTTTTTCGTTTACTTGCAGTGTGTGCGATGATGCGCGAAGGTGTCCTCGCATTCGTCGTAGCTCCTGATTCCGCACCTGCACTACGGGAGATGCTCACCTCGTATTCATCGCACTTTCACATCCCGTTGGCAACGTCACTTGCTTCACGGAGCTTCTCTCGAAGCGAGTACGCTATCTCGACGCAAGTGTCGCTAGCAGACGCCACCGCATCGCTGTTGCGCCGCTACAGATGGTCACAGGTGGCCTACATCTTTGACGACTCTGCCTCCCCCGATATTCTAGGTATGCTTCTATTGGCGGAAATTTGATGGTGATAGCAGCACTTTTATTCAATAACATTCCATCAATGGACCAACCGATATGGCTCTTGTCAGCATCATTTTATACCTACAATATTTAACGAAGAATCTTCTATTTCAATATTCTTAAGAAAACGAATAGTATCCTACATTTATTATATATAGTCTTTTTCTATGAGCCACAAAGTATTCTCTTGGTGCTAACTTGGATAAATGCAACAAGATGGAACGATTCAATTTGCAAGGTCCAGCGTTATCCTTGCCGAACTTGACTTTAAGTGTCAAGACTAGCGCGACCGCAGCCAGCAATGGAGTAACTCTCTACTAGACTGTAGGAAGTTGTGCTCCTTCACAGCAAAAAATATTGCTACTATTGATTACGTGTACGAACTTTAGGACAAGTGTCTGACATTGCCTGAATCGTTGCGAACCGGACATATCCAAACGTATTTGGCTAAGGGTCTTCGTATGCGTTTAGGGCGGTACAGCCAGATTTACGATAGCCCACGAATCATCGATAGCAAAGCTTATCGATTATTCGTTCGTTCTTCAAAGCTTATTACGAACGTGCACCGAACTGAGGCGCCAGTCTTCTTGATAGACGGCCAAGCCCGACCAGACCTTCTGGAGAAGCAGAAAAACCGCCAGCCGTGTCGAAGAACTTGTGTGAACTTTACGTATACCTGGGTATATTAAATTTCTTTGAAGTGCTACTTGGCTATTGTTTTGGAAGAGGTGTATACTACCCGACCAGTGTACTCGTAAAAAGCCGTGTTAATTCTTTAGGAAGTGAGTGTTCTGATAATGGTTTCGTTTAGAAGTGTTTATTCGCGTTAATGCGCTCTAACCCTATATAGTTAAACGACAATAGTATAAAACGAGCCGTATCGTTCTCGGAGATTAATAGTGACCCGTCCTGATGGTTTGGCCATGAAACAAAAGTTGCGTCAAAAAAGAATTCGCAATCAATTTGAAGAGCACATGATTGAAACAGAAAGGGAACCTTCCAGGCGCCAAAAATGGGGGTGTTTTGGTTTCGGTTTGTATATTACTGTATACTGAAGATGCAGAGATACAAACAAGTGATCAACACACTACACAGTAAACAGTTGTCAATACACATTCATCAGAGCACATTATAAAATATGGCTTACTTATTGGTGTTTTGGTATCTACTCTAAGTTACATGAAAAGTGAAAAATCGGACCATGTTAATGCGCATGTAAATGGATGTATGTAATGTAAATGGAGTAGGCACAGCAGCGGGACAATTCTATCGACAGACCAAACGATCTTTTTCTTTTCTGTCGGACGCAGCTAGGACAAGTGCGTCCTAGTAGGATATCTTTGTCAGCATGAACCGGAAAGTATATACAATAGCTTCGGGTTAGGAGATTATCTTTGAGAGACCGTATCGTCTCTTAACAAGGCCAATGGAATGGGGTTCGGTCGCTTGCAGCACTTTTTGCAAAAAGGAATAACTGTGAAATAGTTATAACTGTCCTATTCTTCTTCAACGCGCTGAATAGAATCATATGTATTCCCATTTTGCGCATCGGTGCGCTCACAATCAGTAGTGTATGATGTATAGCATTTGTGCCTTATTATGCTATACTGGTAGCGCATTTATATGCGTACGATTTGCTAAAATATGTGGAACCAAGTTCATGCTCTCTGGACAAAAAAAATCATGATCATCAGCGACGCTGATGTGCTTACGACGGTAAGACCAAGTCTCTAGCTGTTTTAATTGAGAACTTACTGGAGAAAGCCCGCATTTTTGAGGGACGGTCTTAAATTGAATTGCAGAAAACAGTTCTCATACAGAAGAAGCCATGCAGAATGAAATAAACAAGTAAAACAAAGCTGCAAATGATCATATGTCGTCATTGTTTTTGTCCACCATGTGCTAAAATAGACGTATTTGAATGGCTGTATTGTTAAAGGAACTGTAAAATTAAGGGGTGACAAATAGAATTATTAAGACTGTTAGCGTCGCTTTAGTAATACTATCCCTATTAATATTTTTATTATAGCGCATGTAGTGAAAGTTACGTATACGTAACTGTTGATTGCGTAGCGTCAGTCTTTTGCATAGAATGTTCCAACATAAATCATTCAACCACGCTTTTACAGAGAACCTAATTCTATAAAGGGTTAATTTACTTACCTAAGAAAGGGAGCGTGGCGGCAGCCGCAAATGATGGAACATGTACGAAAACGTGGCACCATATAGACCCTAAACTAAGAAGCCATCGCTGCAGGCTCGCGTAGGTTTCGTTACTGGTCCCCGCCGCCACGAGCAGCCGCTTCCCAGGCCCATGAAAACATTTTCATTTACAATCGCTAAGTCCTACTAGGTCTTGTTCGAGAGCCTAGGCCTGACGGCTACGCCAGCAAATGACTCTATTCAATTTTAACTGCATCTTATTACACTATTGAGCACACGGCCAACAGCACTAGTTACATAACGGCACAAGTAGGCCCGTTTTTCTAAACTGTATAAGCCTGATCTGGCACATATCAGAAAGGTACCGAGAGTGCCTGTTGAAATTGATAGCGGCGAAAGACACCCCAATTGACGCTCATATAATTTCCACCCTGATGCTCTATTTGACACTTCGAACTTTTATGTATAAAATTTAAGTCAGTGCTCGCTTCTTTGAAGTTATACAGATTACCGAAGATTTAATTATAGAAATAAACCTAATTAATGAATTTTCAATCCTTGGGAAATATTTTAAATGGCGGCTAATAATTATCGATGACCCTGCTTCAAACACACAGTGCATACCAAATTTTACGGCCCTTTATGATTACCCTTTTCTTAAGGAATTCTTTAGCAGCAAATAACATGAACTTGAATAAAGCGTGAACCAAGAGTAACAAGTAACAGTCTTAGTTCGGGTTGGTAAAAGGTAAGTATAGCATTAAAGATGATTGTGAATGATCGTTCATAGAGGGACTTTTAGGGCTCAAATTAGAAATTTGCCGCAGGTCTCGATTCTCCCAAAATGGAGTAAATATATAAGGCCCGCTCAAAAGCTTTGATACAATAAAATGCAGGTATATCGATGCATCCGAGACTTCACCAAGTTTCGGAAATAGTGGGGAGCCATTTTTTGGCCTGCGTTCCTGGTTAACCCAATCATAAACGGTTCATTTTACTATGATATAGACCACAACTCTGATCGAACACAGCAGGGCAGAAAGAAACGCTATCAAGTTTCAATCCTAAGGGTCGTGAGCGCTAGTAAAGACAAGGCTTTTATTACAATAAAACACAGCAGTGACGGCTTAGGACATCATGAGAGAAAATTGGCATTTGGGTAAAAGAGTGCATAAAGACATAAGTTAATGTTTAATAATCATAGTATTGTACACAGTACAATATATAAGTGCTAGTAGTAAGTCTTCCTCGTAGAATATATTCCGGCTAGACCTAGCGAACACTTACATACTGACATTAACTCAATGTATATTCGTGTTTGCCTCCGTAGCTTCGTGCGTAAAAGCCACATATTTGTATGAGTCATTAGATAAAAACTGTCAAACTATTCAACGAACAATTTAGATTATTCTTAGCAGCTTCATGGTGTACTAATTTTTCACCTTTGGCCTATGCTTGGTGCCTTGGGCTTTCAGAGGCAATCCAGAACTCTGGTGTGAAAATTTCGATCGCGAAGAAAGTAAACAATGAGGCCGAGGCAAGTGACGCTGTTCTGGAGCTGTCTTCGCTGGGCCGATTAAAGCCGGAAAAGATCGAAAAGATTGTACTCAATGTTAACCGGCCGAGCTTGGCTAAGACAGTGCTATCTGGAATGATCAGGGAAGTCAAGAGCTTCAAGAACCTCAACACCCAGTTCATCCTCGCCAATCCGGTAAGTCGATCCCTTGTATCCTGCGCATCACGCAGACGACTACAATGCCACCAGGTAACATCAACAACGAAGTGAGCGAGACCCCACTTGCCTAAAAAATCTTAGAGCGTTGTTTTTTACCATTAAAAAACAACGCTCTAAGGTTAATAAAAAAGTTCTTCCTGCTTTCGTCCGTCGGTCCAGTTCTCTCATTTTGACTCAACAGGCTAGCAGAGAGATCTGCCACTGCTTCGCCCAATATTTGCCCCCTACCCGTTCGGTAATCCGTCCGTTCGTCTGTCGAGTCTGCCCAATTTCATCGGTTGAACTTTGAGCATCCGTTAAACCACGTCGACTGCGGCCCAGACCCATCGCTTTCTGCGACCATTGGGACAGTCCAGAGATGTGGGTCCTAAGAAAAAAGCAGCTGACGATGGACGAACGGCCGACCATCCAGCTAGACAACTAGCGGCACACGAAGAGGGCGACATCGAAAGGAACTCTAAAATATGTTTATGATGAGAAAAAGGCGGTTTTAGAGTCGGGAAGAGACGTTTTTATCTTAAAGACGACAAGCATTACTGGTGATTGAGTACTGGTTTCGTTTTTTTTTTATAAACACGAACGAAGACTCATTATGACCCTTACCGCTTTCAGCGGCGTTAAATTTCTACATCGCTGCTTGACTGGTAACGTTGATCTTTGCACATAACCCCTGAGTTGTGGTAAAAAAAGAGTCGTAACGACGGCTTCTCTATTCTAAACCAGACTCCCAGGGCACGTTGTAGGTCGGACTAGAGTCAGTGGCTTCCTTCCTGTTATTCAAACGGGTGACCTCTCCTCCCTACTTGCCTCTCCTCGCCCATTGTACGTAGAAAGGAGACGCAAAGAATAGATATGCTATTGCTAACTCTGCTTGTGCGTATCAATTCATAGGTCTCGGACGATTTCTGGCAGTACATCCGATTCCGCGATGCCGGGAGCAGCCTCAACGTGACCGCCTTTCGGCTCGTCGACTCTGAGCTGCCGCATGTCACGCGCTTCCACAAACAGATGATGCAGCTGTCATCGCACCGGTGAGTATGGCGCTCAACTGGATGCGGTCGAGAATGCGAAAATAGCGTAACACAAAGGTATAATGGTACATATATTATGTGTACGAACGGCGAGAGAGCTTGGATGGCAGATGAAATAACTATGAAGGTGTTAGCCATAGGTAGATATTGGAACATTAGTAAGTTTCAGTCTTGCATGTCTAATTTGTGGGACGTCAAGTTTTCTTAAAATGTAATACATTCACTGGATTTTGAAAAGAAATAAAACCAAATTGCGCATAGTCATTACAATGACGGTTGGACAAAGACAAGAAATTTGGGGCTACCTTTTTTTTGACAAGACTAATCGAAAATCCTTTTTATAGAAATGGTATTTTTTACCCTGCTATAAAGACCGACAAAATTTTGCATGTATTTAGAGAACAAGATGGTTTGGTAGCTTCGCGAAAGAGATTCTTGAAAGGAACTTCCCTAGCTGCTCATATTACTTACCCACCTCAGTCGTCTACGAGGATTTGAGAGTATTGGAAAATTGAGCTGATATAAACCGACTGAAGAAGAAGCGTTCTCTAGAGACGTTCTAAGGGCGCTGTTTATATCTTGTTCCGGGCGGAACCGGAAACACGATGGGTGGTGCAGAATTTATCCCTTAAAACTGACTTTTCTGATTGGTTGGAAACCGTTACTTGATTTGCCGTCGTTTATAACCAGCTAGGCTAGAGGGCCTGTCACTAGCCACAAGTGTCGTGGGAGAAAGGATTCGAATGTGGTCTGTCCGTACTTTTTCGGTAAATGCAAGTGGCTAGTTGCCCCAAAACTGTAGCAAGCCATTGCAAAACAAAGAAAAAACACTTCTGCCTATGCGAACTAGAAGGCATTTTTTGCCGTGACGTCGAAAAAGGACGCTGCGATACTGAATTTCTGCTAGCCGCATTTCCTTATAGCCGATTATATGCATATAGTGTTCATTTGTTGTATTTGTTCCTGTCATTAAAATTGCAGATCCCTATTTCACAACCAAGGCACTCAGTCATACTTATTTCTGGACGCAGTTACTGCGCTGCTTACTGGCTTCGACCGTGTCCTCAAGGACAATCCTCGCCTTCTCGACCGCAACCTCCGTCACCATCCCGGCTCTGTCTACTTTAATGGCACGAAGGGACTCGACTGTATGGACCAGTCGCGTTTTTTCGAGTATGGTGACATTCTGGCAGCGTTTATAAAGCAAATTAAGATCCCACAGGGACAATCAGGTCCTGTCGAGTTCCATGACAACGGTGAACGTGTACAACCTACTATCACAGTAATCCAAGGCTCCCACAAGGGCCACGTTCGTCTGGGTACATGGACCGCTAAAAAAGGACTCATGCTTGCTGACAAGCCTGAAGCACTCCCTCAGATTAAGGCACCCGGAGCTATTACTCCAGCTAAGGAGCTCAGCGTCGGTAGTGTCTTGGTGAGCTAATGATTGTGTTTACGCTATAATGTAGTTTACTGATATACTGACCGATATATTGATAGAAACATTTTGTGTATCATACAGGGAAAAAAAACGAACCAATCGATACAAGCACTTAGGAATTCAATGTAGTAGGTTAGCTTAAATTTTTTATCAGTCAATAACATCATCGTTTCCACCGCGATTAAACTGTCAAGTATCACAGTGCGTGTAATATTCTCTAGATTTTCGAACGTTTCAGACGTGTTGGAATCATCTTTTTACGATCCTTGCAAAGATCGCGGAAAGAATAAGCTTATCGCAATGAAACTCAATATAAAGATCGATGCAAATAAGCAGGGCACGAGACAAAGAGAAGCAAAATCAGACAGAAGAAATCGTGACGAAAAGCTGGTGGAAGCGAACCGTGACTTGCCCGAGTGACTTGTCGATTCATCTATGAACTGCTCAAAGGAGATGGCGAGAGGCAAGCAGACTTACTCTGCGAGAAGACTAGTTGCTGTGAGCGTTTCTAATGGTACAAGCTAACAACCCGCCGCCTCAACTAAGGCAACAATGCGCTGCAGGAAGCCGATTTAGGTTATTTAACGGTTCCTTGCATATTCAAGTTGGACCTGAAAGACAGAGCAGTAAACTAATGTAGCCTGCGTGCTTTTTCGCTTGCCCGTTTCGACTCTCATCTCGGCCGGTCGGCCGCGCCAAACATACGCATACATTTATACCGCTAGTACCAGCAGAGCGCAACGTATTGATGGGAACAGGGGCACAAAATCGAGAGCCATTCTTATGCATCTGCCTTCTAGCTGCCGAGGCCTCGTCCCCGGAATCGGCCAGCGCTAGACAGAGAGGGGCAACACAACCGCTGGTAAAGCGATTCATAGCCCCACTCTAAAAAATCGCACAAGCCTAACAGATTACCTAGAATCTTAATGTGTTTCACGCTATAACAGTGGGAGTAGAATATGAGCAAAATCTGTCACATGGAATCGATGTTGTGTTGCGAATTTTGTTCATTTGTATTGATCACGCACTAGAGCATCCGGCCGCCCAGGTAAAACAGATGCCACAAGTTACTGTTTCTACGTCATAGCATCAGAACTGCTGCTATCAATGTTTCCATCCTTGCACCCCAGATATGAGTCATATTTTTAATGTGTTTGGGACAGCTAAGCAGATAGTACAACATTTTTTTCCTATGTTTGGGAAGAAGAGACGGGTCATAGGCAACCTTACGGTTTGTCTTGCTAGATTTTTGTTATTCCTCCAAGTCAGCGACTGACCGATAAGCCCAGTGTCTCGTGCGTGCTACAAGGTTGCACAGCACGCTAAGCATTGCATACGTGGGTGGGGAGTAATGCAGGACGAAAGAGGCCAGGGCAATAGAAGGTATCTAGCAATTTGTTGCAGCTGCTGCTGCATCATGAGATAGCTGGTTGGTTGTTTAGGCGTCGTTTGAGGTACGGTAATGGGGGATGGGCTACTTGATTGTACCGAGCTATATAATAAAGGGAAAGGCCAGGTTGTTTGAGGGATTCGAGGCTGGAGGATTGCCGCAGGGCTCCTGCAGGCAACGGCCTTCTCTGGATCCCTCTGTCGCAACTTAATCAAGTATCGCCCTGTCATCGCCCTTTTTCGGCCGGTCGGGAAACTTCGAACTATCTGCTCGCCTGGGTTGCATTCTTCCGTACAAGTAATCTAACGGGATGGTTAAGGAAAGGTTTACTGCGCCGAAGAAGTGCGCGGCCAGCTCACAAACAGTGCTAGTATTTACCACGTGTATGTCTTTCCTGTCTTTGTTTATTCTGTGTTTTGTTCTTCTACTTCGTTTTTATTTAGAATTCGCCGTACCTCATACAGAGACAAACAGACGGCGAATTCTCTGGCTTCGTGCCCGATTTTCTTGAGGCTCTATCCAACGTCGTCCCCTTCGCATACAAGATCCAGGTCGTACGTCAACGCGATTATGGACGCCGATCTGAAAATGGAACTTGGAGTGGACTCATGGCTGAGGTGATCAACAAGGTAAGTAAACCGGTATTTCCAAAACCTTATTTTACCAAAGGTAGAGGTATGCTTCACACATATATTCTTTTGTCAAACTTTACAAAAAAAAAAATTCGGCTATTTAAAGATGCCTACTCATGATAATTTTATGTGAAGTAAACTAGCAACAGAAAAAATCTTCAAGCTTCAGTATACGCGTAACGGCTTACCTATCTACTATATGTCGTACAGCAATTTGCATCCAACCCCGGATATTTTCCAGCATTTGAAATTTTTGATGGGGCGGGGCACCAGAGCGGTTACGTAAAGGAAAGGCTTTCAAAGCGATTTGCGAAGAACTCGAACGAACTGGCTGAGCATGAAGATGAATGAACAATATACATTTTCTTCTCTAAATTGATGTACAAACACTACCAAATAAAGAAATCAGCTATTATTTTGTCGCTTTCATATATCATCTAGCTAGGCAAATTCGACATTTCGAGCTTGCCTAGGTTTTGATTTGCAAAGCTCAATAACGTCAGTTTGTGTGCCGTGTCAAATACTTCGCGGGTGAAACGCCGCATGTAGGTCTATTAGGTGTTTGTCAAGCAAAAGACCCGTTTATACCAGTACTTGCAGCTGTGCTGCGCTGCCCAATATATGTGGCAAACGTACCACTTTAAAGAATAGCTGGTAATTTGTCAATAATCTTTGAGACAGCGCAAACATCCGTCTATTACGGAAGAGCTAAAATCAAGATTTGTACATTGCAATTGCAAGAATTTGAACAGCTTCGAATAATAATATCGCTACGAATAACCCGGAAACAACGAGCCCTATCGTGGCAACTGTGGTCCATATTTTGTAGGTATTCGCGAACTTTCAAAAGAGTTTACTTCGATTCGACCATAGATCGGGTTAGCTTATCATGTAGGAGTACACAGTCGCCCCGTACGTTACATGCACCTCTAGAACCCGCCTTGACGAGTGATGCCTCTGCTGATCTAAACAGCAAGGTTTGCAGCCACCGTTGCCGTGTATTTCACGGACAGAACTCATATTTCAAGGAGAAATATCGCCGTAATCTGTTTGAGTCAACGCGTCCGTTTGCAACGGCCGCTTTTGCTACGTGCCACGTTCCGCCTGTAGAGGGCATGTTGAAAGAATGTTGACTTGAGTGCTCGCAAGCTGCAGATGAGCTGCATCTTCTCAGGCAAATGCGAGAAAGGGGCCTCCGGGTACGGCGTGCTAAAAAAGGTTAAGTAACGGGAAAGATACGCGAGGTGCACTTCGAGTTGTCCCAAGCCGACTCCAGAGCTGGATTCTGAAATGGCAGATGGCCTACTTTCAAAATATGTCTGCAGACAATGAAATTGGCAAAACATACCCACGGACTAACAGTATACACTAACTCCGCGTCAGCCAAAAAACGTTGTGACCGCTGTTGCGGCCCTGGCCGCTCTCTATACAGGCACAGGATCTCTCGCCTTGTTTTCTCAGTCCACAGAAAAGTAGCATCGTCTAATTCAATTCAGCCTAACAAAATTCACTATACATACAAAACGACTGCAGAGCTCGTACCCATATGCATCTATTATGTTCCACTAATTGATTTTTACATATTTCCACGATTTAGGCCGGAAACGTCATTATTCGGATTTGTTTTAATAAAAATAAATACCCTTTGTTTCACACAACATATACATACAAAATTGAAACTGTAATCTAAAAAATCTCGGAGGCTTAATAATTTATGTCAAATATGTCTTCAACATATATATAATAAAATGACTCTTAAAAAAGTAACTGAACTTAAACAAGAAACCTGACGGGAGTACAATACTGGTTTCCATTTACGTCCCATTTAATTGTATTAGCGTCTCGTCCCACATACGAATATTAACGGTATAAATAACGCACAGTCAATTCCTATCGTCTAAGAAACACGCACGAAAATATAGCATACCCACCATGTCCAGTCAGAGAAGATAGTAGTCAATAACTACTCATCATCTACGTGGCTACATGATGTTGAATGCGTTAATTTTGTTCCCGACTTGGGCCAGACGTATTCTACGCTTGCTACGACGCTGGTCACTAGCCACGGTAGCCTTTAGTAGCAGAATGCGTTCGTATGGGACGACGTATTGTGTATTACTGGGGACGAGGCTCCCAGTGCAGAACGCGGAGCAAGGTGCAACAGCAACGATACGGTGAGCTAGCATCCGGTGCTGAGCAAGACAGTCCTCGAAAGCTTGTGGCTCCGAGTTCTTTCGCGGCTTCATCAGCTAACCAAGAGCAAATCCTACGAAGTTGACAAGCAGGCTGTTTGCTATGTGCTGCTAGGACGCTGGCCCGGTAGTGGCTGTATCCAGGGCAACAGATATTCGTTTCCCATAACGTCAGGTGGCGGCGGTGGTGGGCCAGCCTGGGTGGGTCGCACAACCAGCCCTTCCTGCCTCAGCTGAAGCTCAATCCGTAGTGGGTACTCGTGCATCCTGGTTGCTGGCCTGTTGCTTGCATTGCTTGGGCCTGAGCCTAAAGCTGCTTTCTTGCCCTTTAGAACGGCTTTTGCGTTTTTGTCTTGTGTACTTTACTCTCGTCTTCGTTGCTCCATTGTCGTGCGTACTCGACGGCACTCGCCTACCAGCTCTGTTCCGCTTATCCGATCCAGCGTTGGCCAGACAGCAAGCTCCTACCCAACTTGGCGTCGCTGGCGTAGTAATAAACTGCAAAGAGAACTAGTATCAGTAGTATTGAAGCTATAGCTATTCGTTTGCCGTCGACCTTTGCCCAAAGTAGTGTACTTCTTGTGGGTCGCTTGAGGATATACTGCTATCGAGGCTTTGACCCCTTTTCCCTTCTCTGTTATCGTAGCTAGTGCAAGGAGCCCAAGACTTCCGGCTGCAGTGAAACTCGAAAGTGTCGCAAACGATGATTGCAGACCAACCCGCCAAAATCAAAAGTAACCAATTGACTGTCGTACCAGGTGTGACTACGTACGAAAACCACAGCACGGCCTCTGTCAAACATTAGCTATAGGGTAAATACGTCTTCATGGCACTACTGTTGCTGCTACCCCCTGCAGTGTCATCAAGACAGCTCAAGGATTCGAAGAGCGAACACGACACAACTGTGCCTGGTACGACTACGCCAGCCAACCAGGACGAAAGCGTGCTAAGGACGACATTCAGCCATCCTTTAAGAAGATAGTAGAAAAGTAATTTCAATCTCCGAACTGCTAAAGCTATAAGAAACTGCATCGCCAGAAGGCATCGATTGTCTTAAATGTGTATTTTTCACTGTGTGCAATCACTTTCAATGGATCGTCCGCAGATGTAGCAGTAACGATCAACTTTGAACGCAAAACGAATGTTGGCAGTATCGAATAGATAGATGAGCGCCCCATAAAGGCTTATGATTTCTCACACTTGACAACGTTAAAGGGCATAATTTATTTATTTTTTTTTTTTACTTATACAACTACGGTTTTGTTTGGTAATCGTTATAAATACATACGTCTAATTCATGAAAATCGAATTCATGAAAATCTCTAAAATGGAATAAAGAACATACCCCTACACTAACACTGAGAATTTTTTAACTACTGATTTGCTTGTCTCATGGCGTATATTAATAAAACAAAGAAGTCATCGAACTGCTAAATTTTGTTTTGTTATTTAATTTCTATCTGATGATTTGCAGAAGGTAGAAATTGCCGTATCTGACATGGCATTAACAGCGGAACGTCAAGAAGCCGTCGAGTGTACCCAACCTTTCTTCGTTGATGACCTAGCCGTTGTAATGGGCCGAACCACCCCCGCAGGTATATTATGCTGCGATTTGTAAGCTGAATGGATAAGGCGATACAAAGCATTTCTTTAGTTTTTCACCAGTCTATCAGTATTATGTTCGATGCCTTCGATGTAATTTCTCCGAATATGTTCAACAGAGACAATTCATCTATGCTTTAACCTAGTACGTCTGATATATTGTATATATATAGCATGCCGAAGTCAGATATTAGCGCACCTTATACGCCATAGCTAACGAAGTTCCGTAACAAAGATAGTGGCATAATGAATAATAAGTTGAAGTCTCGTTACAACAGAATGGGAACTGAATAGCCTTTGCATGTCATCTAACAGCTTGCTAACTAAGAGAAAATGCTGTAGTACAGGGTAGCGAATCTTGAATATGACTCTTGTCCAACCGCCCCTGTTAAAACTTCATTACTTTAACTTTCTGCGCAACTAATGCAGAAGGGGTGTGCATGCCACGTGCATGTGTCGGAAACTACGATTGAACAAATAAGAAATATTCTAAATACTAAGCAATCTCTTTTCATAAGCTCTACGGCAATTTTCATATGCATTCGCTATAAACTTTGCTATTTAACTTTGCTCACAGGGTTGAACAAGAGAGGAACTAGGTTTAGGAAAGAAAAAAGAGAAGTTTGTATGGTCTGAATTTATAAGTGAACGACGTGTTTTATTGTTATTTGACGATTTCTAGAAATCGGATAATATTCAAAATCCACTTGTTCACACTGTTTTTTTTTCCAGCTTTTGAACGCTTCCTGACTCAACTCTATCGTTATCTACTAGAGGGAATAAACATACTAACAAGCGTGTATCGCTAGAGACAAAAAGCTCTATGCGGCTCTATAGGTTTTACACAGTCATTTCGCATAGCCTGAAACCATATTTTTTGGATTTTCCGCTTTGCAACTGTTGTTGTAGGCCGGCCATCGCTATCCTTCTTCTTTGTACGGGTCTTCTCCTGGCAACTATGGGCTTGCGTCGCGGCTATACTCGCAGTCTTTATTATCTTCTCATATATACTGAATCACCTCGCTCAGTCTCGGCAAAGGAACAGTTCGGAAAAAAATCGACTTCTATGTCTCGTCTGGTTTACACTGGCCTCGGTGTTCGCCCGTTCGCAAGGACCCCATGTCAAGTGAGTCTGTTGAAAACTTGTTTTCCTTCACTATTGATAAATTCAGACTAATGATTAGTTCGGGTTTTGTATCGAATTTAAAATCGCAAACTATACTCCACAATTCATACTGTTGTAATCATCTGTCAGAACATTGGTTTTTATAGCTACAGTAATAATAGGCATATTAACGTCTCGCTTGTGCATTCAAAGCCGTTCGATTCATTTAGAAGCTAATTAATTTCGTTACAGCACGCAACTGCCAAGGAAAATTGAAGTAGGTAATAACTGTTAGCGGGGTTGCCGTTTCGAACGAGTCGTTCGGAGCGATGTCCGTCTTTTTTTTTTTGGTTTGCGTCAGCCCCTTCCGCCCTCATAGGCGTTGCTTCCGTCTGCCAAGATTTTAATGATTTCGGTTGACAGAGACGCAAAAGGTTATCCAGATAGATAACGTGATCAATGAAATCAAAAAAAAAAAACATGAAAAAAAAATTTTAAACGGGCTTCTCGAAAGGCTAATCAAAAAGCCGTCCAGACAATCCTACCGACATAAATGACTGTGTACACGTCTCGTCTTTTCATAAGCAGACAAAATAATTTTAATAAACCCTAGCATGGGGTTGCCCTGAAGTTGTCGTGAGTCGACAGCCATCAAACTTATTCTAAACCGCATAGTTTTTCCAGAACCATGAACGGGTAAGGTATTTTCGGATCATTAAATCTTAAGGGATATGATGAGAGACTATATCCGAAAGGCAACGTCTTACAGAACTATCGACAGGCCCTATACTGTGGATTAAAACGGGCCATTTTCACTTTATTTACCTTATTACTTTTTGCTAGTATTTAGATCGGTCTCAAATATTTACGGAGCATCGTCCCTTTTATCTCAAAATACGACTCTGCCATTCATACAAATGGGTCAATAACGTAACAGCTTCACTCGGTATGTCACGTACAAATAACATTGATCTTAATGAGCGATCATCAGCGTCGTCACCAATACTACGTCGCGTTTTTCTTTGGTTAGCTCATAACTTTTCAACTTGTCGACGGTGCTGTACGTCTAAGCTCAAACTCATTGATATTTGCTACTTAATTCTTGTTCATTTATCTATTTAATAAAATACTGCTTGTTTCGTATACAAAATATCGCGGCTCTTTGCATCGCATCGCCGTGCCTTTGTCCCGTTTTGCACCTAGCTTGCTGTATCGTTCATGTTTCCCACGCCCTTCCTGCATTTTTTGTCAAGGACAAAGGGGAGACAACAGTACTCTCACTGTCTTTTTTGCATTTTGCTCCTGTTCGGCAACGAAACTCACACGGTTCAAGTAGAGACAGTCGTCGAAGGCCTTTAGAAACCCTGAAGTCAGTCGGAAAGGCAAAATAGGAAGATGACTAAGATCCACACGCCCGATAGTCGCGCTGACGACTCACAGGATCAGCGGAATAGCCCACTTAGTTTCTTATAAAGTGAGCGCATTTTCGCTAACGAAGAAGCAAAGTGAGACGGGTTTGCGTTTCCCAATCGTACTGTGATGTCATCTTGATTTTTAGCGCTATACCCAGCGGCCCCCAGGCTTACCCAGCTTCCATGCGAGTCAAACACAGACGGCGGAGGAAGTCCCCTTACGCTAATAGCTGTTGTTTTCTCTGTTGGTCGTAAAATTTTTGCCATTACCGCTCTTCTTTCTTGCGAAAAATCCTGTTTGCTTACGAAATTAGAATACGCGTCGTGTACTAATCGTCTGTCAAAACGGTCCAACAAATGTGCAAACGTGTCCGGGCAGAAGTAATTGTCATTGTCCGGGAACAGCTTAATTCAGGGTTACGCCGTTCCAGCGGAAGGTCAGCCTTCATGTTGTCAAATGACAGTGGTCATGACGGTTACTGCATTATTGATGCTGTTGGCGTGATGATGATCATGATGTTGATAATGATATTTTGAATCAATCGGAGGCAATGGTGACTACGACCTTTTTTGCCTGAATGTGTGTATAGATGGCCTCGTGAACACTGTCATATCGTAAATTATTTATGATGTAAGCCGCTTCGAAGGCTGCTGCATTGCCCACTTGGAAATAATGGGGTGCTGCGAAGATATGCCCTAATTGTATATATCTTTGTTAATTCATTTAAATGTTGACCATGATGGAGAAAATATGGACGACGTGCACGAACTTCTAAAAATGCATCACTGCAGGCATGATTATGATTGTTAGCACAACTTACCACTAGCAGGCAGCTGTAAGTCACTAGCTGGCTCAGCTTTGAATTTAATATTGCGTGCACTGGAAACTGCTGTTGGGAGTTAGGCGCTGCAGCACATTGTACTGCATAGCGCGCATCAGCAGCCGAACACTTATAGACGATCACCCAGCTTTTCCTACGTTGGTAGAGCCTAGGGACGCGTAGTAGTTGAGGCAACGAAACATTGCTACCCATAACGGTACCATCGTGCTCTACCCCTGCCGGATTTGATCTGCAATGCAGATTACCAGTGTATGCCTGTTCCCTCCCGATCCACTGCCCCCCGATCCCTGCGTCTTCAGCCTAGTCCCTTTTGACATGAGGCCCTCTGCCCTCAGGCCGGTGGTCTTTTATCTATGTGTTGGTCACGGGGCAGAGTACTCGGTAAGCTATTATTGACAAACAGCACGTAGGCAAATGGGGGAAACAGACTGGAGTAGGCTGAGAGGACCAATGACAACAGTGACACAAATGTGCAAGAAGCTATTTTCCGGGCTCCCTTCGCATGAAAAAAATTTATAATGAGCGCAGTATGTCATTTGAAAACTCCCTAGTTGTTGTGGGGGCATACTAAATGGCAGGGAACGAGAGCACCGAAATAAGGTCCGCACACGGTTTAAACAGCATTAAAAAGTTGGTTATGTTGTTAATCTCAATCAGTTATCGTTATGATGATCGTCTTCACGGAAAAAGTCAGAGTATGCATAGTTATTCACTAATTTAATAAACAGGTTTGTGGGTGAAAGGAGAGCTCAATCAATGAAGCAGCCCGTATTGGAGTTTGTCAGCTTCCTGGGCCACCGAAGATAAACATCCTTTTCAATATTTTAAAGACCAGTTAGATAGATAGATAGAAGTCTACTTCCAAGTTCGGCTTTAACTTTATGTCAATCGTGATTATCCATGGCATTTTATAGTTGTTATGCGTATGTTGGATATTCGACAGAGGATATTCTGTGGAAGAGGGCCAGGACATAAAGCAGTATGAGTATTCTCTGTTATAATTATTTACAAGGCACCTATCTATACGAATGTATTCGATTGATGAACGTAGCGGGTCACAGCGTCATTGGTGCACCGTAGTATAAGAGAAAAAAGCCCATTCTGTGCTTCTGCTTGATACGATTATTGGTCCGTCGGACGCTGCACATGAAAGATTTACTACTGCATTACCTTGTCGCTTCGATAAAGCGATCTGAGAGTTGCAACGGTAAATGGACCGTTTTGAACATACTGAAATGTCAAACCTTTTTCATTGTCGTCAGAAACGCCGAAAAAAATGTATCGGACGGGATTACTTGGTCAACCTGCCTTCTTATGTGATCAGGCAATTTATTCTCCTCATCGCTGGAAGGGGTTCAACACTTCGGCGACAGCAATGAAATGCTTAATGGATTCTTTTTTCTGCGATCCAGATCAATCGTCTAAGGAAGAATTTTGCAAACGGCCTTTGCGTTATTTTTTTTAGCATTGTTCGAACATATTCGAGACAACCTCATTTGCTGACAATTTTTCCGTACTTATTAAATACTGTGACAGCTCTGCGAGAAAGCGCCGTCACGCGCGTCAAGCATCTACTGATCCAAACGTCTTCGAAAAATATCTTTATTGCCGGCCTCACAATTAAAATGCAGGTAGAGATGACTGTGAACACAAACGGATTTACAAGTGCATAATTTACCCCTAATGCTCTATTGGCCATATAAGTGAATATGTTATGCTATAGAACATATTATCCATATGTTGTGTTACACATTTTTTGTCGGAACTGTTTAAATAATGGTTTTATATAAACCTATCGGCTGCCATACTGAACAGCAGTATATAACACAGCGTACTGCAACCGTATTACTAGATTTCCACATTTCTATTATAGCAAGCACCTCTGGCATATTATTATTTGCGATAACAGTAGCTGCCGTAATAGTTCCCTGGCACCCCAGTTTGTATGCACTAAATGCCATTATTATTTCAAATTTACATACACGCATATACATACACCACTGCTTGGCATTGTCATACCCTTTCTGGTCTTTGGTAACGGCTCGACGACGAAGAAATCGACATAATACTTGAACTAAAATAATAATGTTAAATATTTGTTCGCGGCGTTTGGGGCAAACTCTATCTTCGTAGGCCTTATGTACGTTTTCAGCAGCTTTCGGCTCTAGCTATACAGCTTCTTTTTTACAGAACAAAAAATTTTCCTTCATTCAAGTGTTCATGCCACCTCGGGGCTAATCGTCGAACAGCGGTTCGGTACGGCAAGAGCTGGTCGAATTCGAAAGTGTGATCTCTTCTCTGTTTTCCTTACTCGATTTCTCTATGGGACGGATGAGGGCATAAATTTCTCTGCTTTGGTTTCCCATTCCACTACATCTCGTTTTTGAACGCTTCACCTCAGTGGGCAGATCATTGCTTGACATGAGCCCGAAAGAGCGAAGCGCCATCAACAGCGGCAGGCTGTTGAGCTGTAAACACTGTGCGTCGTCGCAATGGTACCCGTCACCAACGCTAGGCAAAGGAAGAAGGAGTACGCATCTGACGGTGACTAAAAAGAGAAGGGCAATTTCGATGAACCAATGGACATGATTGTGCTAGCAAACGCAGACAATGCTTGAGGGTAAGAAGTTGGCGGGAATAGCATGTCGTAGCGACTTGGACAGAATCTCGTCAAGTCTTGACATTCACCTATTTCTGCAGCTATAGCACGAAGTACAATTACTGCTGCACAGGAGTGAACTTGCCGTTGTTTTCATTCTATGTAACCCTGTGTTAGTACGTATGGCTCTCATATACTAAGAGCTAAAAGAGGAAAACAAAAAAAAATTTCGCCGATCATGCCGTAATAGGGAAAGGAGAAATTACAAAAAAAAAAAAAAAAAAAATTACAAAAGCCTACTGTTTTTAGTTATCCGTGCACCTCTTAAGCTATTGATTCTTTATGATATGCTTTCCGCAGTAACAATTTTTTTATTTGCGATCAGACTTTCACTGGAGAAACTGGCACTTGTTGGCAATCAGTTAACGACTAATTGATAAGATCAGGAATAAATATACTATATGCGCATTAAATATTTGTATTTTCCTTTTTTTTTCTGTTTATGTTTTTGACAGTTCGAAGGCTTACAGGATCCTGTTGGCATCGTGGTGGTTATTCCTGGCGGTAATGACCATCACTTACTTATCAGCGTGCATTGCGCTCCTACAAGCTGTCCTGTTTGGCAGTGGACCCGATCTCTTCAATAAAGACAAATTTTGTCGGGTAGGTCTTAACTGTTTTCTTTTTCGCCTTATCCTTTTTTGCTGTTCGTCTATAGGTAACAAGGCCTTTTCTTAAAAGGCATGCATGTTGTCTCACAAGGATACGCCCTTGTGAGACAACATCTATACAAACATGTAAAGCCAAAAATCGCGTAATTAGATGTCAACTACGGAAAGTATGGAACAAATGTTATGTTTACCGTTGCGATACGCTGTGTACCTCTTTGTACCAAAGAACCTAGATATACGATACTACAAAAAACAAGAGTTGTAGCGGTCATAGCTTAGAACAATATTGCCACTTAGTCGGCGAATAGTATAAACCCTATAATAGCAGAACCTAGGAAGTGCAGCATAAATAAGTCAGGTCGTCAACGTTGTGGCCCTGACCGCTTTTACTAATGGGGGCGCATGGGAAGGACTTGTCTATGAGAGATCGTGAGGCCGCCCGGTAAGTACAGAGCGTGGAGTGACAAAGTAAGAGCGAGAGAGAGGAAAAATGTGTCAAGCTCATGAAGTGACGTGGAATGTCAATTTAGGGTAATAGTTCCATAACGAGATTATATACTTCGTATCACTAGCCTAGTATCGTTGCCACTGATGCTTTTGGTGGGGTAATATCGCCCCGGAGTTGCTGCCACTAACTGTGATTTCCGCACATAAATACACAGGGTTTTCTCTGATCTCTGATGTCCTGTTTGGGTTAGGTGGTACCAGACAACAGTAGTTTTTTTTTAAGTATCTTTTTCTCATTCTTATCCGGCTTCGGCCCGTCGCGCGCTGCGGTATCGTTTCTGAGGCGAAGAGGCTACCTCATTGCTCTGTTATCATCTAACAGTTTCAGCCGCGCGCCTTCTTCAGCGCTTTTATCAAAAGCACTGAAAGTAGAACCGTTATACGCCACCATAATAACTCCTTCCAGTCTTCTAAATGTAAATAGCTTACATATCCGGTAATGAATACATCCATTCGGTATGTCGTTGCCACTGTCGTTTGGACACGACCGGCTAAGTTTTAAGACAGTGAGGATTTCTGGCTCTGCGCATGAGAAAGGACCCTGCAAAAAGGCAGCCCTGTGCACGATTTATCAAAACCAAGCTGGAAACGCTTTTGTTGTTGAATACCATCGAGTTTACGCTATTGGTCAAAACTAAGTGTTTTGAAACAGCGCACGAATCAGTAGGGGAGCAACTAGAAAGGAGCAATAAGTTCGCTTTTCGAATCTGAGGTCACTACACCGTTGTACAGCGAATACGCTCATACGGTAATTTAGGAAATGATACGTTTGTATGATGACCGCTACCACATAAGCTTTGGTGAAGACAGATAATGCGCTTGAAAAGAAGGCTGCCTAGCAGCGCATGTTGCTATTGACGTATCCAAGTTCAAAACGGCTGGTTTAATTCTCGTAATCTCGGAGAACTAGAGCAAAGTGGCTGGCCAAGAGTGCAGGCGCTCGAATACGAAGGATATGTGTATGTATGTACAGGCGACGTACACCTGCCACAAGTGCAGAGTCAACCGTGCGACGTCAGCAGTACTTCTCTAATCACCAGTCGCGTTTCGGTGTCTGTCCCTCTTCCGCTCCCTTTCTCATGTGAATGAATGACTACATAACTCAAGAAGCGACTACGTTACGGAAAGATGCCTTCATATGTGCCTTATATAAAAAAAAAAAAACTGCCAGTACGTACGGGGAAAATTGGTGTGAAAAATATCTTCATCTGAAGGTGCCTGCCCTGGCGCTAATCCTTGGACTAGCAAATGGACTTATTCTACCTTCTCGTGCATGTGAATGGATCGTGCAGTGGATAGTGAAACCAAGACGACTAGTAGTTCCCTCTGTTGTTGTCATTAGGCGCCAGCAGGGCTGTTGTATGTGATGGAGGCGAGCAGGAATGAGTCCCTAATAGCGCACCAATGATAACCACGACCGGCTGGCCAGTTGGGAAACATAGTCTACCGTCTTCTTGTTCGTACGTGCTCTTTACCTCTTATCAAGCTCTACGGAAAATCCACGATCTGAATCTTTCATGTGATTCCACTGCTAGTGCACGATAAGACATCCGTCAGTCTCTGTGACCGCCTAGTAAAACGAAGGCCGTACGACCTGTTACTAATGGCGATGTGTGAGCACGCTGTAGGGAGTAAGGCAAATGGTATTTAACAAAATAAGCAGCTAAATATCGGGTCAATGTGTGATAGCAGTTTTTTTTATGTGCTTATACGAGGAGTAAAACTGCCTAGTGTCCGGCAGACTTTTCTAACTCTACAGTAATAAAGTACTTTCATCTCGTTTCATGCTCCCTTTCATTCTTTGGATCGTCATACGTCGTCATACTTACCGCCTGCTTCTCATCCCTCGTTCGACGCTTACAATGTACGGTACAATGCACATTGTCGGGGCTTTCTGTCGCTTATAACGTCACGACAGGATGCTGCTAACGGAGCCGTTGACGTCGGGTATATGCGACATGGAGCAGTCGAAAAAATGATCAAGGTAAGAAAGGCATAGAACGGGCCCAAAGGCTCGATCTCTCCCACTTTTTCTGCCCTTATACCCCTGTCTTAACATCTTACGACATCAGTTGATGTGAAGCAACAGCTGAAGAAAAAAGCAGGCCTCGTCTTCGCATGTTACGTGGTTCTCTACCGATTCCGAATATGTCAGGTGTCGGTCTCGGGATTCTTCTAACGTACTGCATATGGGAGATTACGCTCTTCTATATACGATGATACGATCGTACGAATATTAGAGTATACTCTAACACAGTGATACGTACACGAGGTAAATAAAGATACATATGCTCTACTACACTATTTAAGCAAGCCTCATGGTGTTCCCTGTCGTTCTCCTTGAGGCAGATCAACGTGCACTTACGAAGGGGAGAATGAACAAGCGCGAGTCGCAGGCGGACAAACTTCCAAAGTGTACATATAGTGCTTTTCTTTACCTACGCCCACCACATAGGAAGCCCAGGATGAATCCTTGTGAGACGGGCCCATAGAGAATGTTGTTTCTGATGCTGCCGAAACCAAACGGATAGATAGACGCAAAATTCTCATTCAACATGCTTACAACTCGCTAACTTAACCTCCGGTCATATACGATGAGGGCAATTTTCTGTTGACTGAATAGGTTCGGCGCATAACAGAGGTAGGTAACGATCGCTCCTTAGAAGCAGACGGCGATTACGACACAAGGCAAGTTTTGCTAACTCCGTGTGTCCATCTCTTTTTCCCCATTTCCTTTCTTTCACTCTTCCCTGATCTGTCCTGTTTGTATGTTTGTACGATTTCACCCAGAATCAAGCGGAAACGCAGCTTTCATTTTACGCACAGCTGTTGAATAACTCTCGGATCCGCATTGTTTCCGGCATTGCTGAAGGAATGCGTCACGTGGGACCTAACTATGCTTTCCTCGGTAAGCGAAGTAGATAGAGAATAAACTAGAACGCTGGTATTATAACCCAACAATACACACAATAATAATGGCCATGCTCAGGGGCTGCGCGTTTATCAGAGGTTTCAGCATCCAAAGCCGAACTGGTTGAAGTTATTCTATCCGCTAATCTTCTGGGTCTGTAACGGAGGTCACAACAGCTTCAATTGAGTCTCTATTCATAAGGCAGTGAAATGCTTCTAAGACGTTTTATCACTGTCTGTTTCCAAGTATTAGCAGATACTCCCTATAAGAACAGCTCCAGCGCGCAATCAGTTGAGAAATGCATACTGTGACATGCTTGCTATGACGTTGAATCGAAGCAAGTATGCCTTCTTAGGAAGATCTGGATTCAGATGAAAAAAATGCTATGAGTACAAACGGAAAAATAGGTGGTGAGCAAAACACAGCAACGGTTATCGCCAGTCAAAAACGTTAAACCAGGCCCGTTTTAGGGCGGTAAGGTTCGAGCGCTCAATACGATGTTGTATGGGTACTTAGCTTGACGTTGCTATTTCTGTCATTTACAACGTTAGCGATTGTGCCGTTCAACAGGACTCAAATCGCAGGTGGATTCGTACATCGGACGCGATTGCGGTATAAAGTCGTATACGCTCATTCCACAGTTCGCCCAATATGCTCTGGTTATGCCCAAGATGTCACCGTACAGGGATATGTTCAACCAGGGCATTGAGAAGCTTCGCGAGTCTGGTACGTAATTACGCGTCTCATTTTACTAATGCATTTTATTGAAAGTTACATTGACTAATAGGCTCTCAATAAAATAATAGTTTAGGGTCATATACCGTAAGTGTACGAAGGTCTAACTTAACTGTGTAACAATATAAATGATGCGCAATCAGGAGAGTAGTTATAATGCAGAAGACCACTTCGTTGTCTGGCAGAAGTATTGTTTTAAAAGTTTAGAGCCAATGACGGTAACCAAGCTGTAAACACTTTAAATTGATTTTGGGGTTCACAGCAATGAAAGCACGGCCGATTGAGGTGCCGATGTAATGCGGTTTAGTCTGTTCTTTAAAGCAGCAGGAATTCCCGTTAAAAAGTCCACTTCCCCGATTGAGAAAGAGCATTTAATGTTAAGGCATTCCAAACCCCGGCTATCGGACTGAAACCTCCTGAAGTGGAACTAATAGTAGCAGTATCTATAGCAGGAGTATTCGAGCTATCATCACCAAAGTGCTTGCGGATGGTCAAGCCGAAGTCTAGCTCACAGCGGACCGTGTCCGTGTCCGCAAGCAGGCGGAACTGTTTTTTGAAGGTACAGAATGAAACGCAGCGGGGCAAATTGCGATCGATATCACTTCGCCATTAGGCCGTAAGACGCGACACGCCTAGTAGCCGGCAACCGAAAAGTTTGCAATGACAGCAACTCGATCTAGTTTCCCATTGCCGAAGGAATGAAACATCAAGGAAGAGCGTCACCTACGCGAACTTGCTCACTAACAATCAACGTGGGGACCAATTGGCCGTTACCGTGCCGCAACATTTAAAAGCTAAAGTAAGCGTTTCTTTTTTCTTTTGCATTCGACCTTGGATACCGTTTCAATGCCGTATAACAATCTGTACATCGCTCGGTCTACTACGGCGGATGTTTTGGACTCTTCGGTTTCGATCGTGTTTTGAATGATGCTTGTCTACGGGATCTTGCGACATCTTAATAACTACTGGCTTCTGCAAACGCCGCGTGTCGATGCCAATATATGCTGCAATCACCTGTAATATGAACCTACTTGTCAAATTTATGCCTATACGTAATAGGCGTGCTGGCTGATTTAAAGGAAAAGTGGATTGATTCACTAGTACGATGTCCGCGCGAGGTCGAAGTGCTGGAGGTGCCAGCGCCGATCAGGTACACAGCCCTTTGCGGCATGTTCATAATCGTGTTGGCCGGGTTCATACTGGCACTTCTCGCCGGAGTCATCGAGTTTTGCTGGAGCGCCAAGCGTGATTCAAGCAAAAGTGAGGTACGTACATTTATACAAGGATATATTTCGTAAATTTTATTATCTACTAATTATAAAAAATACGGAACGTCGTCGCGATGCGTGCACCCTTCATAAATAACATTTCTTAACGTAAACAATTTTTTTTATAACATCCCAGAACAAAATAACTAGACGGAGAGCGATACGTGAAGAGATTAGCACATATAGATAACTAGTGGCATTAAAGACTGGCCCGCGTTACTGCCAGAAAGATACACAACTGCTTAGCACCGTAGCTGTTACTGGCACTGCCAAAAAAATATCATAATAGAAATCGTGTCCTGATTTGAACGACAGGCAGACATGGCCATTTATCGAGAACGGATTCATATCTAAGACACGAAGTTGCCCGATTGTTGACGAATGAAGCAATATTCTGGAGAAATCATTGTTGGGTTGTATCGAGGTAGAGACTGCCTTTTTCCATGAAGCTTTTTGGAGAAGCGCTAGTATCGCTGCTGTTGGAAACATATTAGCGAACAAATCGATTACTGGGCCATCGTTGAAATAGTCATTTTGTATGAAAAGCTAAACGAGCGTGATCTCACAAAGTTGGCACATTTTATCACGACTAAAGTAAGAATCATAAGCGGTGATATAGTAGTGCTCATTTATTTAGATAAGCGCTCGACGGATGGGATTGTAGCGACCCAGGTTGGATTGTGATGGCCAGAGGAAATAACATGGCGCTTGTTGGATTTGTTGTCGAACGATGACAAACCAACCTGGCGAGGGTCGGCAAACCCACCTACGCCGGCACAGACCTTTGTACATAATACGTATGGAAGTCACGACCGTTCGAGATTCTTATTCTTTTGGCGTTGTTTGACTTTCTTTGCCCTACTTTACTCTGCTATTTCAGAAACCAATTCAGAAAGTGATGTGGGATAAGGCGCACGATTCGTTGAAGCCATTTACCCAAAAGGATCCAGCTTTGGTAAGTGCGAGATCCTAGAGTAAAAGCAGCAAAACGTAACTCGTACATTAACCCATTGGTACATAGCAAACCTCATCCAACATAGATATTCCGGCTGTGTGGAACGGCGTATCCGAACTCGAAGTCTCTTTGCTTACTCGCGCGTCTAATGGTGAAAGCGTTGGTGGTTCCCGGCGAGTCTTTGCCGTCCACGTCTAAAATAGAGCGGTTGGAAACTGCTCTATTTGCTACGAAAGTTTGCCATTAGAAGGGAAGCCGATCAGTTTACTACCTACTATTCCGGGCTACAAGTTCAATATACCATATGGTAAGCCACTTGGTTATCAATGGCCAGATAGCTTTCAAGCACGACTGGCTGGCATATCTGCTGCAATCCGCGGTCAACTATGCCCCTAGCTAGCAGGCATTGCTTTGAGTAGGACAAGCGAGGCCTTACGACGAACAGACACATGCGTAGTTCCTGCGGTACAAGAGTGGATGCAGTGGCGGCGCGTTGTCGTTACTACTACTGCTGCTATTATTGCCTCATTTAACGGATTTGATCGTTTGCATTCGTTCATGTTTTCAGGGGAACGACGAGGAGATGACTCTCAACCCAAGTCAAGCTAATGGCACCCCTAAACAAGTCCGGGTTATGGTCTAGAACACCTAAACCCAGCATTCGTCTCCATCACTCACAAATCTTTTATGTCTTCTTTCACTACTATAACTCCCTCGCCCGAACTAGTCGTATGTACGTAGTGAATCCAGCGCCGTGTTGTACCATGTCTTAGCCATGTATCACCGCCATCATTTTATGTACCTACTCATGTCTTATGCGAAGACTTCGATAAATACAATTTCATCGTCCACAAACATTCATGTTTGCACCTTCTACCAGAGACCAGAACGAAAGAAAACATTTGCACAACATCTGACTCAACTGACAAACCCCGATTAATTGTATAGATGTAAAGCCTTCTCGTTTGACGATGCAGATCCAGCTGTGACGATCAGATACGGTAACAAAGACTGACGCAATGCACCATACCTAGTGCGTTACATCACGTAAAAATTGAACCAGAAGCAAATCAATAACGATATTTCTAACAGATAATTAAAAATATAGTCCCAACATATATGGGGCAAGCAGGAGTATGATTGACCATATAAATGCACCTCGAACTGAAACCCAAATATGGAATAGAAAGCAAATCTACAATCCAATATGTAATAGCTATCCGTAACGCATTTGAGGTGAACCCAGAAATTAAATAGTGAGCTAATCCAATGAGAGAAGGTTTCTACGTTCTATACGCGAAGGTATTGTATATGTAGTTAATAGCTACCCTTCTGTTCAATATGACTCGAAGGTGAGTCAGCGGATCTGCCGTCTGACGTAAAGCTGACTGCTCGTGTGCCGTCTAAACAATCGGAGCATAGCCTATGTGACTAGAGCTGAACACATTGAGATGTTAAGTATGCATGATGAGGACAGTCAGTCATCATGCATCGTGTGCGGTCTCGGTTGAGCCAAATGTGACAATAACAGCTCCTCAAGCATGATTTTGTCGCCATTACCCTCAAGGGAAAAGAAAGAGCTTGCGCGGGTGAAAACTAACGGTAAACCTACGATTAGAGAAGGTATTTAAAACCATACCTTCAAATTGTATTTGCTGTATATATCATGTACTTACATGAACTTCGCTGGAAAATAAAATGGGGCGGGCGGGCGGGGGGTGGGTCTCATTTTACTGTCGGCGGTTATAAAACGTAGAACGAGTGTACGTTAAGTGCTGAGCTAGTTGTTTCGACTGCACAATATTTATATACTAATTGACGTCATTAAATTTAAGACAAAATTCTACTACATATTCGACCTGGCAACTCAACTTAGCAACTTAAATTAAACTTGAAAACAAAATTAAGTAGGCTTTCCAGTAGTGGAATTGACGACAATCAAGCTTTTTGAGCGAAACATTCGAAAATGATAGCAGCAAAAGAAAGAAGGTCAACCAAATATGACTGGGTCGGTAATGCGTTAAAGGCTATGATAGTCCAATAAGCCAATACTTATCGACGCAAATTATTCGCTCTATCTGCTCCGAATTAAGGCCAATAGGAGCTGGATGTATCTCATTAAATTACTAGTTGCGTCGGAATGCTTTTTGTGTGATATCTACTATACAAAATAATAGCTTTAATTTATAGCTATAAGCCGTTTCTTTAAAGTTTCGTTGTCTCTATGAAACTCCCTCAGTTTGTGGAAATATCGGCAGTTCTCCAGAGTGAATCTGATCTTATAGCATGGTACTTAACGAATCATTTCTCAATATCCAAAACCTACTCGTATGCCGAGAGTGGCAATGGGGTAACATGGATGCTGACGCCTAGCGGGCACCCCCAAGGACGCAGTCATGCAAAACGATCCTGTTTCCTACGGCAAAAATATTTTAGACGCATTAATACATCGTGCTTTGTTAACAGCTGAGATACGCTTTCCTCCACAACTTGATAAAGCTGCATTTCGGGCGTCGTTACTAAAAACAAGAGTGTGATTTATGGTAGTTTTTGTCAACACTTCGTGACGAGTTGTGCTATCGGCATAAAAGCATGACCTTTAATTTTTCTTCGCTATATTGTCATTTGTTCACTTGGAAACCTTTGAAGGGAACACCAGTCTGTGTGTCCACCAAAAATATTTCATTTGGTGCCCATCAGTCTTGTTGGATCGCGTCACTCTATCCATCCTTTATGGGTCGAACACAAAGCTTATGGAGCTTTTCCGTTGGCGGATATTACGATACACTTTACACACTTATACAAACGCATGTATGAACGCTAGAAATGGCTGCCATGTTATTTGGTGGAATCATTTTGGCATTGAAATAAGGATTGCGATATTTTTCTAAATATAGAGATGATGGTGATGATGCAAGCACCCTGGTTATAAAAAAAAAAAAAAAAAAAAGAAAAAAGTAGGGGAGAGAAAGAACAAGAGGCAAAGATGTGCGATGCGAACGAACAGCCGAACCGCGTGAATGATATTCGTAGGTATAAATAATTACGGAGCGTATAAACAAAGAAAGTAAAGAGAAATGAAATATATACCTCTTTGAAGTTAGGCCAACGGTATTAACGAGCGATTATTAGGGAAAATTAGTATAGCGATGACATCGATAGGCAAATCGTATTATGACTTTGATCGAGGAAGCACGAGTCGTGCAGAATGCATTGATATCGTTGGATGGTTCATGGTGATTCATCATTCATTGACGGCTGATAAATCGATTAAAAATCAACAACTGAGAGTTATCGGTTTCGATGACATAGTGCCAAATGATAGGAGTAACACATAGTTCGACGATGCGATCGCGATCTATAATAGCGCTTTGTGATCGATTACCAGAACTCTCTCCCTACACGATTGTATATAAATTATCGATGATATCGTCTCCAGCTATTGAAGTTTATATGTGTATATACATATATATATATATATATATATATATGTATGTATGAAAGGGCGAAAAGGAAAGAGGGATAAAACGAAAACATTAAGCATATGCATTGGCAGAGATAACGATAACTATTAACGGAGAACGAATAAAGAAACGACAAAGAGTAGTTTATACGTGGAACAATCGAGAATACAATAAAAAAAATTGTCAAATCGAAGGTCGATGTATTAAAAGTCAGAATAAATGAAAATTACACATAGACAAGTATCCAAAGACGCGCTTATATATTACACCTGAGAGTGTGAATTTAATAAAATATCTTCTGTCGTGCCATAAACAATTTATGCTACATACCTTTACTTAGTACGGTTATTAATTTTACTATATTAGATGTCTGCCGTAGATAAAATGTAACTCCTTTTTTAGCTTTAGGCTCCATTCTGAACATTGTTCTACCGACAAAGGACGCAGGAGTGCAATCGTAAAATACGGTTAGGACGGTCTCAATCATACTAGCTAGGAAGCAAAGCAATGCCAAGGACGTTTAAACTTCATTGCTTAATGTTTCAACCAGGAAAAATTCAAGCGAACTAAGAGCGATTGTTATATTTATGTTCTCTATCACATAAATGAAGGGATTGTCAACGACATTATACCCCGACTTCGTGCAGATCATTTGCGACGCGTCACAGACAGCCGTCAATGTCCATACATATATGACGTTGTCAAACAGTCATTTTATATCTCGTTCCAACTTAAATGGTCATTGCTGCTTATTTGTTGGGGCACATTGATAACTCTGCTACAGGCTCGTTTTCAGAACGAGCACATGTATCGAGCTTACTTCGGCATCAGCCGCCATTCGTTTACGGACATGCATTTCATTCACCTCTGATAGTACTTGTTACGATAAAGAACAACAAGCGGTCCCTCGGTCGACGACGTAGAATGTCGGTACAGAATTTAAATATAAGTGGCCTGCGGGTGTCACATTGTACGCTTTGCTGTCGTCTGCATTTGCAGTTGTCATTCAGGCAAGCTGAATCGGAGCACCGTCGGGGCTCCGTCTACGGAGTGCGACGGAGTGAGAAAAAGAACACTCGCGTACTGCAGTCGCTTTTCCGTAGTTATTTCACTCATATGGTGGACCCATAGGCTGAGCATTGTGGTGTCATTGCGACACCATTTTGGGCGAGGAGCGCAGACGGGGACGGTATAATCTTATTCTCGGTGCAAAACAAATTCATCAAAAACAGATATTTCGTTTTTTCAAGACAAGTCAACAGAATGCCACTAGAATTTAAAGAACGATTCGTGAATAAATGAATAGCCCGCACGCAAAAAGCAAAAAGTGAAGTAAGCTGTTTTGGGCAAAGTGGGGTCTAGGTAGAACTGTCTTAACATGGAGTCGAACGCCGGTGCACTTGTTATAAGTCTATGGCTGCTGCTGATCCAGTTGGCATTATTGTTAGGGCTGTTGTTATCCTCGTTGTTGTCGTTCTTGTTGTTGAGGTTGAAGTTCACGAGGAATACTGCCACTACGGCCACGACAATGAGTCGGAAACGAAATCATGATGGCAATGGAACAATATGCTCCCACGGTAGGAGCTTTAGGTTCAGTGAAGGATGCCCGTCCTAGAGCCTTACTCGATATACCTATACGAGAGATAGGGACGATACCGCTTCGGTTGGAAGAATTGGGGACCAGTTGGAACAATGCAACGGAGAAAAGAACGCAAAGAGTTTAGGGAATAACTAACGGCGAAAAATAAAAGTCCCGGCGCGATGGAGCTGCGTGATGGAGTTCATGAAGAGCACAATCGGACGCAGCGGAACGCCAAAGAAATCATGGCTAGGCACAAATGGTATAGTGGTCCTGCTGCTGCTGCTGGAATGGAAGGAAGGCGAAGACAGCAGAAGACGTTTGACATTCAGGGCGCGTCCAAGACGCAGCTGTCGAAGGAAGAACCCTTGAACCGGACTGCATGCATTTCCTCCCCTTTGGGCGGTTTTGGACTGTGGAATGGAACACGGAGAAAAGGGCATAGAAGGAAAAAAAGAGAGAAAAAGACAGGCGAACATGGATTACAATAGTCCCAACAGGAGTTTCACGGGCAACGAGCCCGGCTTACAATAGACCGTCTGAAGCCAGGCAGTAGTCGTGATGTTTTGTTGCCTTACTTCACCCTATTCTCTCCGGTCCTTATACCCCAATATCTAGCTCCTCTATTTTAATACCAAACGTATGTCCGATTGTGTTTTTTATGCTTTCTGTTCGATTCAGCCAGTGCTCTGATGAACGGTTCTTAGGCCTAGGTCGGTTCCTCAAGCTTTTACTCAGCACTACTCGAGCGTCAGATTCGATTAAATATACTTCATTACACAATCCATTACATTGCATCGCCGTCAATACCTAAACTACTATCGTTGTCCAGCGGTAGGTACCTGACCAATATCGGACAATCAACCGGGTAAGAGGCGGATTAGAGTGGAAGCAAAATGAGCTCAGTCCACGCACTCCTTTGTTTAAGACCGTTCGAGTCGACAGGTCAATAAGGAGCGGCAGTTTGGTCCTGGGCTTATAGCTACGTGTAATAGAGAATTTGCCCTTTATGACGTATCACCAAAAGAACATGAAAAGTTGTTGCCAATAGTTCTACCTATCCAAAAGTGGTTGAATCCTATTGCAAAATAATAGTAGTGTTTGTTATGAGCACGTATGACAGAAGAAGATATAGGGATATATATTTCGTAGATGCGAATAAACGTATTAAGTCAAGTCATCCATATATTTTGGAGCACCAAGGGAATATATTCTCAGTACGAACCGTTCGAGTTGTGACTTACTTTGTACGTAAAGCTTAACGAATTTAGACGACTGGAAAATAATAGATCTACTTTGCGAGTTGCATAATTGCAATGCGGTACCCGTTGCTAAAAAAAATATATTTGGGCTGAAAACAACCACGTTGGTTTGAGAGAAGTTGTAGTTAGCGAAATAATCAAGGCATAGGGAACCCCTGCAGTTCCGTAATATGAGCACAAATAAGGTTTAAATCTCATTTCGAATGATGAATCTCTTTCAGATCACGCAATAAATAAAAAAAAAAAAAGTACAGAACGACATGACAGTACATCACATCAGAGTTGTGTTGCGTATAGAAACCTAGGATTTTCATCATTCTTCTATTAGACGAGAAGCCGAGGCCGGGCATGTGCTGGAAAAATTGCGATAGGAAGA